GTCCAAACATATAGAAATCGATTGTCATTTTATTCGGGAAAAAGTGGTTGCCAAGCAAATTGAACTTAAGTATATTCCTACTATGGATCAAGTGGCTGATATTTTCACTAAGCCTCTGTCTCCTTCCAAGTTTCATTATCTGCGTGACAAGCTGTTAGTGTCTGCTTGCCTTATCAGCTTGAGGGGGGCTGAAGAAGTTCTTATCTCATCTACATCACAGCCTCTTCAGATATCATCTACATCACAGCCTTCAGCATTTGTGTCTGTTCTAGATTCTCCATCATAGCTCTGTAAAGCTAGTGTTCCACTGCCATGCTATCAGGGAATTAGTTGTGGCGGTTAGATAGGTTGTTATCAAGTTAGTTGTTAGTTTGTTAAGTTTGTTAAGAGTTAGTTTAGATATTTTGATTACCAGTATATAACAAGGTATAAGCTACAATTTTCCTTTAATGAAATTCAGTTTTCAAGATTCTCAATACTTTTTGACTAAAACTTATATTTTTAAATTGAGAATTGTAGAGAGAGAGCTATAAGAATCACTACGCCATCAATATATAGAAAAAAATATTACAGAACATGAAAATTTTTATCAAAAATTACTATAAACGTGTGTATGTAGTGTAAATTTAAAATTGATAAGATGTGGGCTATATCCACAATCACTATAAATCATTGATTCTTTTTTATCGGAACAATTTTATGAATACATAACATTGCTGAAATGTAGAAATAAAGAATCAAGCATCTCCACCTTCTCACTATGTGCGTGGCTGTCTTTTTTTCTCTCACACTAATGAAAGTTCAAAATATGCATTAATTTCTGAGCACCTTTAACCTTATAATCATGATGAATAAAAACATTTTTATAAATGGACATGAAGTTATACATGTTTATGTATATATATGGACTGGGCTTCTCTCTAATCTATAATCGGATTAGAGCGGTGCTGTTCGGTCCAATATGTTCACTTTTGGATCATATTTCGATGATTCAAGTCGTTCATATTTTATGATTCATCGAGTATATCATTCTTGTAAAAAATCAAGTCAATCAGACAACGACAATCAAGTTCGGATAAATTTTGTATGAAAAAAAATGAACACTGAGAAAATATACGATTCATACTGAACTTATCTGAATACGTGATTGCCGTTATCTGATCAACTTTATTATTTATAGGATAATGTACTCGATGAAATTTAAAATATGAACGATTCAGATTATTAAAACGAGACTCAAAAGTCAATCCATTGAGCTGAATAGCACCTCTCCACAGAGAGAGAGAGAATATGGACATCACTTAAAATGCAAAGTTTGCGTTAACACTCAGTTTGCATCTACAGGGATGACTTACATGTGGCCAACAGATGGTGCCAATGAGAGCTAGTTATATTTTTGTGATTTGTTTACCAATCTATTTTTCAACCTTGGCAATGATACAGAATCCAAAGCCTCCACACCCAGCATGCCATATCTTCAAGTAACAGTAGCTTGTAAGATTTATATACTACTTTCCCTATAATCATTATAAAAATTTTTGATTTTAGAGACTAAAATTTAGGGATAAAATTATTTTTTAGGTATTAAATTTTTTTGTTGTGAAAATTGTCATTATTATATTTTTAGCAACAAAAATTGGATATTAGTGATGAATTATTATCCTTTTAACACCAAATTTTCTGTCTTAAAAAATAAACCATTTTGAGACCAAATTATTTTTTTTCTAAAAGTCTATTTATTAGCGACATTTTCAAAATTTTGTTGCTAAAAGTCTTATTTTTGACTTTTCGAGACGATCTTTTAACGACTGTTCTCATGACGAAAAAAATTGATCTCTGAATATCTTTTGCAACAAAATTTTTACTTTTAAAGACCAAAATATTTAGTTTCTAAAACTTGTATATGTTGTAGTGAATAATAACAACAATAATGCTATATATTATTAACATAAATTTTCAAAATTTAAAATATGTAAATCAATTTCATTTCCGATGTGCATGAGATGTGGCCACACTAAACAAGAAGTTTAAATTTAACTTACCAAAAAAAAAAAAAAGAAAAAAAAAAGTGTCCTAGTGTGAAAATGTAATTAATTATGCATGTGTATTCTTGCATGTGTATATATACATATCATAAACTAGATTACTTTCGTCCATGCACAAATTAGAACCAAGTTTAGCCCAAGTAATAATACCCTTTGGTTTAAATTTATGTAGATTATTAATTTATTAACATTAAAAAAAAGAAAAATATAAATAATTTTCAATACTTTAAAGAGAGTGACTACAGATAGAGAACGCTAGTTACATCATATGTTACCTAAAGAATAACATATGAAGTTATGAATCAATGCAAATTCTACAACAATTTAAAAATTAAATTTGAGTTGATCTAAATAAGTATATTTTTTGATTTTTTTTTATCAAAATATATGTAAAAAAAGTAAAGAAATGATGTGATAAAAAAAAGTTTATTTTGTATTACACCCCAAAACCTAATGATTGAAAAATCTTAAAGGGGTTGCCTAGTGGGCACAAGTTGGGGTTTGGTGGTATACTCCCTTCAAGTTACAAGTTCAATACTCACTAATTCTAATAAGTTCTTTGGGACCAACCTATACAAGGCGTTTGTTCTGAAGTCCCCGCAAGTGGGCTATGAGATTAGTTTTCTAGAATTAATTGGGGTGCGTGGAAAATGAACCAAACACTGGGTTTAAAAAAAGAGAGTAAATGATTGAGACTATTTATCACATTCTAATATTTAGTTGCAATTTTTATTGGCAGTGGCTTTGGTCTAGTCCAAAATCGGATTGGACTGTGCTGTTGGATCTGTGGGGGCCCATTACGGGTCTCGTTTTGATAATCCGAACCGTCAATGTGTAGAACTCGTCAAGTACTATATGCCTGTAAAAAATCACGTTGATCGGATATCGATAGCTATGTGAACAAAACAGTTTTTTATCAACTATTAATTGTTTCACCGTCCATTTTTTTTTATACAAAACTAATTTGATCACGTAGCTATTTATATCTGATAAACGTGATTTTTTACAGGCATGTAGTACCCGACGAGTTCTACACATTGAACGGTTCGGATTATCAAAATGAGCCCAAAAAATGGGTCCTATGAGCCGGACTGGACGGGTTCAGTCTTGATTTCAACTTGAGACAAGCTGGACCCATTTTTATTATCTGGATTAAATTATAATAGACATTCTATCCTTGGAGTTTGTCTGATTGGGCAGATTATAGTAAAGAATTGATACTATTAATCACATGCTAATGTTTAGTTATAATTTTTGTTATCTAGTTATGTTATAATAAATATTTTATCTAACAAAATCGATGAATTTTTTGATTTTACAATAAAAAATGCAAAACAAACGTGGTCAAAAATGAATTATTTATTTTACTAATCCAACTGAATAACTAATCTTCCATTAATTTCATAAATTATTAATACTCTTTTTCTCAATTATGCTAATCAAATAAGACTTTAATAAACAATATATATATAATCTACATCTATATATAGTTGTCCTTTGGGCAAGGAAATTTTTAATTGCCTTTTTTGAATTGAGTTTTTTTTTTAACTCACGGTTAAAAAAATTGTTTGGGTTGACTTTTTTAATTTTTTTAATTTCTATAAAAAAAAAATTATAATTTAGACGTAATATTTGATCTTAGGCCTCGTTTGGAAAACGGCCGATTTAGTCAAAAAATTAAAAAATTATTAAAAAAGTCAAAAAATCAACAACCTATATTAAAAAGTTAAAAATTTTATTCTCTCTACTTTTTACATATTTTTTTTGTAAAAAGTCAAAAAGTCATTACAAACATATTAATTTTTTTTACATCATATTTTAATTAAAAAACTAAAAAAATACTAAAAAAATCGGTTTCCAAACGAGATTGTAATAACTTTTTATAGCCCCAATTGACTTTGCCAAAGGAAGCCATAATATATTTGATGAACACAGTTAAAAGAGGAGAGGAGACCACATTATACATGCAAGCATGTATACATAATTTCCCACCATCAGAGACCACCAGCACTAGCATTCTTGACTCTGATGAGATTTCAATCTCTATCTCTCTCTCTTAGGGTAGGGACTTTCTTTGTTTTGCTTTGTGTACACTGGACACTCCGATCCGGAGGAGCTGATGAGAGAGAGAGAGAGAGAGAGAGAACATTGTACGGGGGCGAGGAGGAGGTTGGTGGTGGTAGGGACGTATTTGCTAACATATACATGACGACTGCTTTATCGTCATCACCACCATGCTCATGAGTGAGTGTGTAATATGTATGCCACACTCTTACGATAGATAGATAGATAGAGAAAGACAGAGAGTGAGTAGAAAACAAACCCACGAAAGTTCACGTTTCGTTTGCGTGCAAACCGGACCATTGAAAACAATTGTAAGTCAGACTTGATCCTCTCTATTCTCTATTATGAAATCTCTATTATGTGTTTGTAATCACAATTTTCATTATATATTTAATGATTATAAAATAAAAATAAGAATGTATTATTATTTTAAATTGAGTAATAGTACTAACTAAAAGAATTTATCTAAAAATATTAATGTGTGATTTAAATTCTATCACACATTTTATTCTTGACCCAAATATAAGACTGCAAGTCTGATCCTATGTTTGGAATTGATCTAAGGTTTTCTCTCCTCAAGAAAAGGATCTCTTCACTGTTTATTTCCATTCTAACAAACTCTCTCTCCCTCTGCCCACCAAACCAAATCAAACACCCACCAAAAAAAATTAAAAATTGGAGTCATCCTTCAACCACAAACATTAATTCTCACTCTCTAGTTTTTTCTCTCTCCTAAATGCTATATATTAAAAAAATATATATTTAAAATTCATATTGTGTAGATGATACTCATTTTGGTTGTTTTTTTTTTTTTTGATTAGCAAAGAAAAATTTCATTTAATAGCATGAAATTAAAGGTACAGAAAGATGACATGTATCGAGAGAGATTCGAAAATATAAAAATACCCCTACTACTGCTATCGCAGCCAAACAACCAACCCTTAACCCTCTCGAATTTTTAAACAAAAAAGTTAAGAAGAACTTAACTAGAAAATTAAAATACATGAATCCCCACATAATCAACCCACCAAAACACCTAAATCAAACTATATGAACTAAACCAACCCCTAAGCCTCATTTTGGTTGTTAGTTACACATATACCAGACATTACAATTATAATTGTGAATACTTTTTCAAATATATTTTTTTGAGCAGATAACAATTCTTTCTTTCACGAGTGATGAAGATACAAGATCACACCCAAAGTATTTGGAACACTGATGAAATTCATAAAATAAGTCACACGCATGACGCCCAGATCTTGCGAAACCGATCTTTTTATCTCACGTCAACAGCCTATTCTGTGAAAGTCAACTGTGCACTTAGACTTTTTCTAATCACACACCAAATACACAAAACACACCCAAAAAAAGCACATACAAAAAGGAGGGGAAACAAAAGTGAGTGAGACAAAGCAAATTTAAAGAGACCTGTGTTCAAGGATATTCATATTGGTTCTTTGTCTCTTCACACTCCCTGAAGAAGACTCATCCCCATTTGTTTTCTCCATTACTGCTTTAAGTGCTTCTTCAATTGAACTTATAGAGTACTGATGTTGTTGTTGTTCGTCGCCAGACTCGCCGCCACTGTTGGAGTTTTCATCCCCGGTAATGAACAATACATTCCTTACTCGTCCGCCGAGTGTTGTGATCTCAGCTTTAAGTGTTCTCAGTCTCAGAGCTTTCAATGTCTTTATGAGATCAGGCAATAGATCAGACCTGTCCTCACAGCACAGTGAAGCTTTGATCACAAACTGACCGTCGTCGTCTGATGATGCATCAACTGTTAACTCGTCAACCTCTGTTGGGACCGGACTTGTCTCGGCAATTACAGAAGTCTGGCGTTTGAGCTCTTTCACATGTTGTATTACTTCAGCTAGCAATGAAGCTTTGTCTGTCTGAATCACAAGCATTGACATGGCGTTACGTAGGGTCATGCTCTTAAATAACAGTATCAATATATATCATCAGTTAATATCAAATAGTATGAACTAATATATTAACGAATAACAGTATTAGAAGTTCAAAATTTTAAAATATGACGGATAATATGATACATAACAAGCAATATAAAACCAAAATAGGAGATAATTATAGAGAAAAGGGGGAGATGAATTTACATAAGGAATGAGATTCATAAAAAAAAAAATACGTTGGCTAGGAGAGAGAGAGTCAAACTAAGTCCATATGTATCGTATCACTCAATATATATCGAAATTTTGAATTTTTAATATTGATATTCAATTATATATTTGTAAATATATTGTCTATAAATATATAATTGTATCACAAATATAAATACATGTATTAATTTTATTATGTAAAATTGTGACTATAAGTCAATCCTTAAATAACATATACATCATAATTTTTGATATGAAATTATAGTTAGTAGTATTTTATGAACAATTAAAACTTTGAAAACACGTTAAAGACAACTACATGGTAAAGTGGTTGGTGTTATGTGAAAAGAAGAGAAGGGTTTTAGAGAGTCGTTGTAGCTAGCTTGATCATTCAAACTAGAAAGTTGAGTTTTGATAATGGGTAGATAGGGTTTTGTAGGCATGGGGGGTGTGTATTTGTAGTAGTGAGTAGCGACTGACAAGAATGCTTGTTTGTCTGTCTTTATTTCTTTTCATTCTCTTCTGAGTTTGACTGCAATTCCGGCAAGAATTTTCTATGGAAGCTTTTCAGCTGTTCATGGTTTCTCTTTATCATATCAACCTAGCGACATTAATGCTTGTACCCTTCACTCCTCCTCGGAACTACCACAAGTCTATAACATCAAACCAAACGAATACTTTTAACAAGTAATTAATCAAAAACAATAGAAAATGAATCGACACATCTTAAAAATGACACTGCATTTTGAGTTTGTTTGTGTCCCTCTTTCTAAATAAATTCTTGCTAGCATAGTCCACCAAAAAATATTTCTAGTATATGTAATCTACACACCATGACCTATCTAAGTAGAATCTTAATAAAAATTTATAGAGATCTTTAAACCTAAAATCGCAAATAATACAAATCCAAAGGTATATGATGAATCAATCAAGTTTAGTTTAGTGGACCAAAATTCTTACATTCGATTAAGACACTGAGATACAAATTTTATCCTAGACAAGACTTTTTGTCTCTAAATTACCAAAAAAGTAATGCGATCAGAATATTAAAAACACTAAGATGCATAATAGTACATGCCATAATGGGTGAGGATATAACTATGTCAAAAGGTTAAGAACTGAAACCTTTCACATGAGTTGTTTCTGATTTTGTAATTTTTTTTTTAATAGCAAATAATATGACTTTTTTGGTTTTATAGTTTGAAAATGGTGATATATATATGGTTTTGACTTACTTTGGTTGTGCTTGGCAGTAAGCTGCGGAGCTTAGCAAGGTGGTTGTTGATTCTCTCTCTACGCCTCCTCTCAGCTTCACTATGGCTCTTAGAAGCAGCAAGAGCTTTAGCATCCATGATCTCTTGAGCAGTCATCTTACCTATTTCAGCTTGGAGCCCAAACGGGGCTGAACAGCCTGGCTGAACCACCGTACCAATCGTGTCCGATATGAGCCTGAGGTGGTGGTCCGATGATGATGAACCATCGTATGCAAATTGCAGACCCTGAGGTCTCCTGTTTACAAACAAACCTCCATATGGTGATGGCGGTGGAGGTGGGAAGAGAAATGGGTCGTGATCACGGGCCGAGTTCGAGGAGAAATGAACCGGGTTTAAGGAATGACCCGGTGGGAGAGAAGACCATGGTATGATTGGAGAGATTTCTTCTTGGTAGATCATCCCTGCTGACATACCTCCTATATATGAATCATTTGTGTTGTGTTGTTGTTGTTGTTGTTGTTGTTGTTGTTGCTGCATCTGATGATGGTGTTGAAGAAGTAATTGTTGTTGGTAGCTTTGTATGTTGTTTTGGATACTTTGAGAACATTCCCCTTGTTCTTCTTCCTTTTTCCCACACATCATCTCTCTCCTCTATCTCTTCCTCTCTCTCCCTCTCTCTATATATATTTATATCTGAAAGAATCTACAAAACAAGGTTGGATTTGAAGGGCTTTAGGGTTATTCCCTAATCATATAATCTTTCTTTCACATAAAGATGAAAAGGGTGTGAGAATATAAAGACAACCAACAACCAAGGATCAGGAAACTAAGGAAGAAACAGAAATGGAAGTAAAGACAGACCTTTGCTTTGATTTGTGATGAAGAGTATTGGCTATTTGGCCCCTTCTCTCTCTCTCTCTCTCAATTGATATACTTTGTGGGTTGATGATCTCTTTTATCATACCTTGAACATAGCTTTCTGTCTCTGTATTGCGCACTGTAGTGTTGTGGGTATCTTTTTATTTTGTTTTGTTTGGTTTTGGGACCTAATAGTCTGCCTGATCTCTCCCCACTAGTAATATATAGAGGTCTCTCTCTCTCCTATGCTCTGTGTGTGTAAGGGATAGTACTGTTAAGTCACCTTTCCTTTCTTCTTACGGCATTCTTTTTATTACTCTCTCACAATCCATTTGTGTAGCTTTCAAGGATCTTTTTACTGTATAAATTTAGAAAATAAGATAAATTATAAGTACGTTTTTGAGATCCGTTTAAAATAGAAATTATGTTCCGTAGTTCAGAGAATTACATTTGATCTTTTTGAAAATTTTAATTTTATAATACATGATTTTTTTATTAATAAATTATTAAATTAATTAAATTTTTTAATAATATTAAAAATATATTTTAATTAATAATTAAAGTAATTTTAATATTATATAAGAGAACAGTTATGAATTTTATTTTAATTGAAGTAATTTTAATATTATATAAGAGAATAGTTATGAATTTTATTTTTTAATTAATTGTGTTAAATAAAAAATTCTAATGAAGGGGTATTTTTAATTTTTTAAACTATAATAAGTGATTTGTATTTTAAGTAAATCTCAGAAAATGTATTATAATTTATTTAAAAGAAATTGCTATACCTAGTTTAATTCTTTATTAATATGTTTCAAATTTTGTATTTAGCCTCTGTTTGGCAAGTTGGTTCTTGGGCTTTTTTGGCTATTTTAGCCACAAAAGACAAAATAGGCTATTTTAGCCATAACAAACAAAACATCACATCCAACCCATAATCATTACATTCTTCTCTCACAAAAAAACTCAAAAAAGCCAAAAAGCCAAAAAACCCTTCCCAAACCAAGCTTTTAAGCCCAGGCTAAAATAGGCAAAAAAGCCAAAAAGCCAAAAAGCCAACCCACTTCCCAAACGGAGGCTTAGTGTTTAAAATTATACTTGACACAATTACCAATTAATACATAATTTAAAATTAATTTCAAAATTTCAAAGTATTTATATTCAAGATAGAGGATCCATTTGGGACAAGTGGTTTTAGCTAAAAAATTACTTAAAAAAAGTTAAAAAGTCAAAAAATATTAAAAAAAAAATTAAAAAAAAACATTTGCTTTTTAATTTTTGCACGTAAAAAATCATTCTAGAACACTTTAGTTTTTTCGGTTTATATTTTTGTTAAAAGTCAAAAAATCACTAAAAAAACTATTTCCCACACAAACCCAGAATAACTTTTTTTATTTGTTACTTGTTAATGTTAAGAATATAATACAAATAATAAAATTATTTATATTTTTAACAATTTACATTTTTAAATGAGTTGGTACTCAATAATTTAATATGGTATTAAATCAAACAATGAATTTTGTATTTATATTTCACTATCTACTCCATAATTAAAATACTTGTATGTATTTGTTCTAAAAAAAAAAAATACTTGTATTATATCGGCTTACTTATGTAAGAGAAACAGGCCACCCATGAAGTAACATTTGGAGAATGAAAAATGCTTGATGACCCGAATTTGTGTGGGTCGAATGACTCGAATGTGTCAAAACGACGTCGTTTTACATCTAAAACGGAATCGTTTTGGGTGTTTTGGGCCATTCGAGCCAAAAAAATTTGGACTACCTAGCATTGTTGTTGGAGAATATAATATAAATAAAAATGTTATTTATCTTGTTTTGCTTAAATTTTTGAATGAGTTTGTAACTAATAATTTTATAATTTTAAATAAATTGATAATTAACAATTTAATACTTTTGTATACAATACTCATATATGTTATATCAGAAAGCCTATAGTGTGCACCTTCTTAGATTTGTATACCATAGGTACCTTGTTATAAATTAGTGTAATGTCAATCACAAAATACGTAATTTCATCACAAATTAACGCAATAAAATGTCTAAAATTTTATTATTGATGTTATAAAAGTTTGTAACTTTATTACGACATTTTTTATTACGCTAATTTATGACGATGTTATGCATTTTATGGTTAATATTATAATATTTTGTAATAAAATTATATCAATTTGAGATAGAATAGGGGTGCGTATCATAGACTTTTCCATGTTATATATATATATATACACGAGAAACAAAAAAATCAATATATAATTAAATTGATTGCGAGTAGCTAGTGGGTTTCCTCCGGTCTTAGATCAGGCTGGAGGATACTGTTGGGTCTGTAGGGCCCACACGGGTTCCGTTTCGACAATCTAAACCGTTCAATATGTAGAACTCGCCGAGTATTATATGTCTGTAAAAAATTACGTTGATCGGATATCGATAACTATCTCATTGGATTAATTTTTGGTCAACCGTTTATTTTTTCGCCGTCCATTTTTTTTTATACAAAACTAATTTGATCTCATTGGATCAATTTTTGGTCAACCGTTTATTTTTTCACTGTCTATTTTTTTTATACCAAATTGATTTGATCACGTAGCTATCGATATCTGATCAAAGTGATTTTTTACAAGTATATAGTACTCAACGAGTTCTACATATTAAAACGGTTTAGATTATCAAAATGAGACCCATGATAAGCACTCCACAGGCCTAATAACACTCTCCAGTCCCAGATCGAACTGGAGAAAAGCCAAGCCTTTGTGAGTATATTATAGATATAATAATTACTATAAAATAAGAATTTAAATAAAAAAAACTATTTGATTAATTGAAGTGATTTTTAACAATGGTGAGATGATATAATGAAATAATAATATTACAAAAAATGATTTAAAATTATGATTTTATAATTGAAATTTATGTAATATATAAATTTTATATTATATAAATTCCATTATATAATTATTTACATAAAAAATCTAGGTGATAAGTATAGATTGCCAGACTAATGAAAATAGTACATTACAACAGGATTCACTATCTAAAATGTTTGTTGCTTTGCGATTGGTTCCAAGTGTATAATTACGCTCTATTAGTGCTAGGCGGCAGAAGGAGAGAGAGAGAGAGAGAGAGAGAGAGATGGGGGAAACACAAACACAATACAACACAGTGAACACACAACGAACAGATTGTCGACCGACCAATGAATGACAAGAATATTAAAGCATTGAGAGGAGAGAGAGAGAGAGAGAGAAATGTGTGAATGTGTATGATGACGATGACAATAAAAAGGGCTTTTGTAGGAAGCTTTCCTTCGGCTTTTGGGGGGTAATTCTACTCGACTCTACCTGGGTCAAGTTCCCACGTTCTTCCTTCCATACTCACTTTTTTACTCAAGCCATTTCCACTCCCCCTACCCCCTTCCTCCTTATCCCAACACCCTCCATGTAATCATTGTGTCTTGGAACCCACTCCATCCTTTCCCCTACCCCCTCCTCCTCTCTTTCTCTCTCACAATTTCACTTTCATATATATATATATATAAAATATTAGAAATTTTAAAAAATTTATCAAAATTTTTATCAGATATTTTATAATATTTATGTGAAATATTTAATAAAAATTTTAATAAATATTTTAAGATCTTTAACATTACTCTATATATATTTATGAATATATTAGTCCTTTTAGAATTACAACTTTCTTGAATTGAATGGATTATGGCTCCATTTGGCAAGAGTTTTTGTGGCTATTTTTGCCACAAAAGATAAAGGGTGTGTTTGTTTTAAAGGATTAGGGGTGAGATTGGACTATTAATCCTACCGGATTAATAGTCCATTGTTTGTTTCATTTTTTTTGTTCCGGGCTAATAGTCCCCCGGACTATTAGTCCCACAAATATGAGAATATTCTATCCCATAGGGGAGGTGGGATAGAAACCATGGGATTGGTATCCCATGGGATTGGTATCCCATGGGATTATTTTGTAAAATATTCATTTTACCCTCCATGCTATTACTTAGCAAACAATTAGAAAAGGATAAAATAGTCTTTTGAACATTTATAAATTATTTTTTTAGTGTTTTAATTTAAAATTATATATTAAATAAAAAATATAAATCATAAATTTAATTTAATTAAAAATAATAAATTAAAAATTATGGCCTTATAATTTTTTTAGTGTTGTTAAAAAATTAAAGGAGAAGATGGCACCAGAGTCCAAGTATTCTGATTTTTGTAAGGCATTAAACTCCTCAAGCATAGAATTAAACCAATGAGGACATTGAAGAGCTTGTTTATAAGATTGTGGTTCAGATGTAGTAAGAGAAGAGGAAGAAGAAGAAAGAGCAGTAAGACCAAATTGAGTAGCAGCAGCTTTAGCAGCTTTAGCAGCTTTAGCTCTAGTAACCATAGAATGAGAATTAGTAGTGGTTGGTGCAGGTAAAATAGGAATAGTAAGTTGAATACTAGGTGGAGAAGAAGAAATAGGAGATGAAATAAAACCAGGAGCTGGAGAAGTTGATGTAGAAGAAGAAAAACCAGAAAGCTATGTTTAATATTGCTATTACTTAGTAAATAATTGAAAAGGATAAAATAGTCATTTGAGCATTTATCCTTCTCCATAATATCCCAAACAAACATTGGATAACTAAAAATAATCCAATTCATACATCTAATCTCATGACTAAACAAACATAGGATACAAATTTAGTCCAACCAAATAGTCCCGGGACAATGTATTCCAAGACTAATAATTCGATGGATTACAATCCCCCCTTATCCAGTCCGTCCAAACAAACGCACCCAAAGGGTATGGCTTTTATCCAGTCTGGGATCGGATTGGACTGTATTGTTGGGCCTGTGGGGGCCCACCATGGGTCCCGTTTTGATAATTTGAACAGTTCAATGTGTAGAACTTGTCGAGTACTATATGTCTGTAAAAAATCACGTTGATCGGATATCGATAACTATGTGATCAAAACAGTTTTTGTCAACCGTTAATTTGTTCACCGTCCAATTTTTCTAATACGAAACTGATTTGATCATATAGCTATCGATATCCGATCAATGTGATTTTTTACAGGTGTATAGTGCTCGACGAGTTCTATACATTGAACGGTTCAGATTATCAAAACGGGACTCATGGTAGACCCTTACGGGCCCAACAGTACGGTCTAGTCCGATCCCGGAT